TAGATAGATAGATAGATAGATAGATAGATAGATAGATAGATAGATAGCACAGGGTGAGTTAAATATGAAGGGATGACATCTAAAAAATAAAATTAAGAGGTGAAAAAGGATTGCACTGGGAGAAGGAGAAAGGGAGGGGTAGAATGGGGTAGATTATCTCACATAAAAGAGGCAATAAAAAGCTCTTACAGTGGAGGGGAAGGGGAAGTGAGAGGGAATGAGTGAATCTTACTTTCATCAAATTTGGCTTCAGGCGGGAATAACATACACACTCAATTGGGTATGGAAATCTATCTTACTCTACAGGAAAATAAGGGGGAAGGGGATAAAAGAGGGAGGGATGATAGAAGGAAAAATAGATTGGGGGAGGGGATAATCAGAAGCAAACACTTTTGAGGAGGGACAGGGTCAAAGGGCAGAATAGAATAAACAGGGGGCAGGATAGGATGGAGGGAAATATAATTAGTCTTTCACAACATGACTATTATGGAAGTGTTTTGCATGACTACACATGCATAACCTATATTGAATTGCTTACCTTCTCAATGATGAGGGTGGATGGGAAGGGAGGAAGGGAGAGAATTTGGAATTCAAAGTTTTAAAAATAAATGTTAAAAATTGTTTTTACATGCAACTGGGAAATAAGATACACAGGCAATGGGGCACAGAAATCTATCTTGCCCTACAGGAAAATAGAAGGGGAAGGGGATAAGAGAAGGGGGGGTAATAGAAGGGAAGGCAGATTGGGGCATTCAGAATGCACATTGTCTTGAGGTGAAGGGATGGGGAGAAATTTTGGAATTCAAAATCTTGTGGAAGTAAACGTTGAAAACCAAAAATAAATAAATCAATTGACAAAAAGTTTTTTTAAAAAAAAATATCTCATCACGAAAACAACTGACTTGGAAAACATAAATTTAGAAGAGATAATTTAAGAATTAATGGACCACCTGAAAGCCATGATAAAAAAGAGTTTAGACATCATCTTTCAAGAAAGTATCAAGGAAAACTGTCCTGATATTCTAGAACAAGAGGATAAAATAGAAATTGAAATAATCCACTGATCATCTCCTGAAAAAAGAGCCCAAAATGAAAACTCCCAGGAATATTATAGACAAATTCCAGAGCTCCCAAGTCAAAGAGAAAATAATTCAAACAGCCAGAGAGAAACAATTCAAATATCATGGAGCCACAGTCAGAATCACACAAGATTTAGCAGCTTCCACATTAACGGAGCAGAGGACTTGGAATATGA